GTAAAACAGTAAAGAGACACATAAATTTATAGAGGTTCACTCGTTAACGAGAGTTACCTCTTCTATCGAGCTCTAGTGGTTTCACTATGTTTGATAAAAAGCGTTATAATGAGTCGAAGAGAGAAGAATGAGATGAGAGAGAAATGGAATGTTTGAGAATACAAAAAATCACGGGAAAAATATATTTGAGGTGATGAATCCCTTGTATTTATAGCTTATGAGGCTCTACAGTTGTTTCCCGTTTTCTTGCGATTTGGTCTTCAATTTGTGATCCTTGTATCCTTTTTAAGTGATATTTGACATTCCTTTACAGATTCACATTCCCATTGACCGGTCAAACGTGACTTATTACCCTTTTCGAGTTGACTCTGCTTCTTTATTGCGCGGTTGCTAAGGATTTAGTTTCCTTATGCAGAGATCAATCAAAATCACTCAATTGGCGTGTTGCTTGCAACCTAAGTCAACCGTTAATTTTTTTTTCACCTTGATTCCTCTAGCTTGACTAGATGATTCCTTTCCCTTTCAGGCTGATTTGATTGTCAATTCCTGTTTAAGGAATGTATTAAGGATATTCTTCTCGTGACTTAGTGCCTAAGGTTGAGTACTGACTGTGGGATCAACTGGTGGAGTTGACTGATCGATGAGTCGTTTTAGCCTGTTTAGGGAGTCACGATGACTCGTCTACTATCCAACTGAAGTCTAAGTTATCATGTGTACGGTGATAAATGAGGTACAAAATCTGACCTCAACAAGGTTTTACGAAGGTTTCCTAAGAAACCATCATTAAATGTCATTGGCTAATCGTCTCTATTTCAAGAAGAAACTATATACCCTCCAAATGAATGATGGAAAGCCCTTGAAGAAAAACATGGATGACTTCAACCGAATTATTCTCAATTATACGCTACATGACGGTTTCATATTTCACAGATCACAACTCTATTTTTCTAACACCAGTATGCACCTCCAGCTACTGCGTGATCTTTATGGAGAAGGCCACGCGTTATATTGAGCATTGTCGAATTTGCCAGGCATCTAAGGGTAAAGCTTCTGATGCCGGGTTATATATGCCTTTCCTTATTCCAACACAGCCTTGGACTAATGTTAGCATGGATTTCGTCCTTGGACTTCTGAAAACGCAACGTGGTAATGACTCTATCTTTGTGGTAGTTGATCATTTTTCTAAGATGGCACACTTTATTGCTTCTAAGAAGTTGACAGATGCAGTCTGTGTCGCTTTGCTATACTTTTGAGAAGTTTATTGCCTCCACAGCTTACCTTTATCAATTGTGTTAGATCACGACACCCGCTTCCTTAGGCCTTATTCGCTTCGTGAATTCAAGTTTTCAATTCAAGCTGAGATGTGATATTTTCTGAGAGCTTTTAATTGTAGTAAAAAAGTTAGATATGACATTTTCTGAGAGCTTTTAACTGTAGAAACTTAAAATTAAAAACTCAAATCGGTGAAATAAACGAGGCCTTAGTTACTTTTGGCATAGTCTATGGCGTATGGTCAATACTAGTCTTCATTTCAGTTCTTCCTACCACCCCTAAACTGACGGCCAAACCAAAGTGGTGAATCACTTATTAGAGTATCTTTTACGCAGTCTTGTGGGTGACCATGTTAAATCCTGGGATTCCAAACTTGCACAAGCTGAATTCATACATGATCATGCTGCTAATCGCAGTACAGGTTTCAATCCATTTAAAGTTGTTTATGGCTTTGTTACTCGATGTCCGGCTGATCTTACTCCCCTTCTTGATCGTACATGTTTGTTGACGAGCTTCACCAAATCCACAAGCAAACGTATGATCACTTAGTCACTTCTGCTCATAAGTATAAAACTGCAGCTGATAAAAAACGCCGTCATGTTGAGTTTTACGTAGGCGATTGTGTCTGGGCTGTACTTAATAAGGATCGCTTCCCCGCTCACGAATACAACAAGCTTGTTGCTCGGAAGATTTGGCCCTTGGAGATTGTTGAGAAGATTAAACCTAATGCTTGTCGCTTACGTTTGCCTCTAGGTTATCGCACTTCTGATGTTTTCAATGTCCAGCATCTTGTTCCTTACGTTGGTGAAAACTCAGATCCTTTCCTTGACGATTCGAGGACGAATCTTTCCGACTTCGCAGGGAATGATGCAAATTAGGACTATGACGTTATTTTAAATTCAAATAGTTTGTTTCAAGCATTATCTATTTTAAGATAATTATGTTTTTTCTTTTTATCAGAGATAGGATAGGATTATGATTTTAGCCTATATATATAGGATCTCTTGTTATTTTAATTATTCAGTTTTTCCATATTATTAATAACAATCGTTGAGAATTCTCTCAAATCTTTGCGTAATACACGCTTGGCTTCGTCAATTTCTTTAGTGAACTTTAAACAGATTCTATTGTCAATGCAACGCACATATTTTATGCTAAGCCTAGATGTTTCAAAAAATGTGAACATTAATAATATTACTTGCCATTAGTGAGCAAACTGGATGACTAGTTTGCTTTTTCATAACAAATGTAAAGACTGAGAGAGTGATAAAAAGAGTGATCATAGTATTTCTCTAGTTACCGATAATCCAAAAAGATACTGAACCATCTATTGAAATAGAATGACGACAGTAATTCTCTTCTTGTCCTTCTTGCCTCCCTCCAATTGCTTTGTAGCAAGAGAATTATCTGATCCCAAACGATAAATAATGTTGTTTCATCAACATTGTAAATATCCTTTAAATGAAATTGGTCTAGTTTAGCTCATATTGTTGGAAAATTGCAGAACACGAACGAATATTTTTCATAGATGATTAATATCATTAACAAGAAATATACCCAAAGACTATTGGGCTAAGCTCACAACAGTAGAGAGTTAATCAGTGGACATTTAGTTCATGGATTTAGAATAATTCTCGTTTTACGTGTATTTTATGTGAGAGAATCATGATTCGAGCAACGAATTATGATTCGAATCATGAAATTATGATTCAAATCATAGAACCATGACATAAATCAACCATGACATGAGTTGACTAAAATATTTTAAACAAAGTGAATCTATGAGCCTCACACAATAAAATAAATAAGTTCATCCCATTATAGCCCAAACAACACCATACATGGCTAATATGATCTAAAATATTAGTTTTTAATTACATGCTTCGTACACCACGTTTGACATTAATATGTGAGCTTAGGTAATTATGCTAGTCCATATAAAATAATTTTAACACTTATTTCTAATAAAGTATTTTCAATATTCCCCATGAAAACTAAAGTACTTTTACCAAACTGCCAGTAAGACTTGATTCCATATCTTGCATTGAACCATCCTAACCAAAGATTAAAGAATTTAAATTCTAGAGAGTTTTACCATACATTTTTTTTTTTTTTTTGCATAAAGTCTTTTTCTATAATTCAGATCATTTTTCCATGTCATATTCATTTTCTCTTTATTGGAGAAACCACTCATACAAAACTTACTCTAACACAAGGATATTTTTCATAATTTGTGCCTCTTAAAATTATTATTTTTCATCTCAGATCATGTTTATCTCGTCGAATTATTTAGAATTAATCCTTTAGGTCTCTATAAATGCATTAGTGTGGATAGAATACACCGAATCGGTACATGAAAGTGAGCCCTCTCGTGTGTTAAAATTCTATGTTTTATTTGAAAATTGTGTCTATACTTTTATTGAATGGTGATTTAATAATGTGTGTTCAATCAATTTAAAAAAAAAATCATGAAGTTTCATCCATATAGCGGGTCACATTACCGCTACCATGACTCGTATTAAGATAGAATAAGTTTTTAATAAACATTCATTTAAAAAATCACTACTTTTTTAAAATTAATAAACATCCATTTATCAATAAATTATCCAATTATCGATGAATAAATAACCTCTCAACAAAATAATTTTTCCTCGTTTCAATGGTACTAATTTAGAAATGTTTTATTGCATCACGTTTTTAGCCAATTGGTGCCGAATGTGTTCTATTTGCTGAAATAAAAAAGAAATAAATAAGATGTATGCGCGCGCTTTTTTAAAATTAATCCTACTATTCAAGAACCCCTTTTCCTCGTGATTAATACTTATATTAAAATCAAGATTTCATTATAAAACACTCTTGACCAAGCCCCTATAGCTCAGTGGTAGAGCGTCAGTCTTGTAAACTGAAGGTCCGTAGTTCGATCCTGCGTGGGGGCATCTAACCCATAATTCTAATTTTTTTTTTTTTTTTTTTTTTTTTTGATATAATCAAAAGTATACTAGTTGATCTAATTCCAAAAAAATGAAGAACAAAAGAAAAATTTCCCAAACAACTTTCCTTCGGTCGTTCCATCAATCAAAATTACTTACAATAATGCCAGCTCTATGTTAAAGCGTCACACAAGTTTTCAATAAGAAGTAATTCTCAAGATAAAACAATATTGATAATTAGGTTAGTTATTCTTTTTATATTTAAGGAGTTTCTTCTCTAGAATCAGAAAAATAAAACTATCGGTCTGTATTAAAATTATCCGTTATGTATATTTTTTTAATCTCATTTAATTTTCATCAGATTTAACGGTCAGAAAACTAATCCTACTTATAAGACGGCCTACCAAAAACAGTCTTTTTTTATATATTGTGATTTACGTTTATTCACAAACTATACTCTCACTTTTTGATCTAATAAAAAATGTACTTTTAAATTACAATTAATGTACATATATATAATTTTTCTTTTTAGAATTTTGACCTATAAAATGACTAAATTATTCTTAGAAAGAATTTGTATATGACGCTTATTTTTGTTCTCGAACAGTTATACAATCTCCTTTTAAGAATAATTTAGTGATTTCGCAAGTTAAAATCAAATTTTGATTGAGAAAAGATTTAGATTTATAGATTAAAATGTAATTCGAAAGTATACTTTTGATAAGAATAAAAACCGATGATATACTTTGAGAAATAAATATAAACTACAAGGCATAGAAAGACAAAAAAAAACCCTTGATAATTAGACCAGCGTAGTGTTAGAATTAACTACACAAAAGAAGCAAGATCGGTGTTCCAAAATAAGAGGTGGTAGTACTAGTTGTAGTAGTAGTCTAGAACTCCAGAAATACATTTTTTTTCTTTTCTTTCCAAACATTTCATATCCTCCTAGATGAGCAACTCTAAGATATATATATTTCTTTGCTTCTTAATTTTAGAAATTGTGCTGCAAGAACAAGTTTTCTTGAGGAGAAGCAGGACAAATCTCTTCTTCCAAACTTCTCAACCCGTCGTTAATGCTTCCACCATTGCCTGAATTTTTGGCTTCTGGGTTCTTCCCTTCTACATCTGCATCCGAAACCGAGGACTTCCTCCTCTGAGAAGAAGCAACACTAGGAAAAGTAATCCATGAAGGAGCTCTGAACTCCAACCTCTGATCATCGGCCTCAACGACATCGGCCTCGGATGCCGACCGATTCGAAGATCTTTGTGAGGGTTTCTTGTGCATTCTACTACTCCCCAAAACCACCTCGGTTGGCAAGATCGGTTGTTCATTACAAGGGCTGCCCATTAGCAGCGCAAGAGCTCGTTCTAATGCGGTCGTCACTTTGTCCATCGATGGCCTTTCCTTCCCTCTCATTCTTACACACTTACAAGCCACATTTGCAATCCTTTTCAACGCTTCTATATCTGATGGAAGCTTCAAAACCGGATCCAAAATCGCTGCTATATCGGCCGATTTGATAAGAGGCACCGCCCACTCGACAATGTTCACTGCCCGTTCAACTACATTCCCTTCTTCATACTGCATATGAATAGCTTTTCTCCCGCTGAGAATCTCCAACAACAAGACACCGAAGCTGTAAACGTCGGATTTGGTGGTGAGGTAGTGAAGCCGGTAGTATTCGGGATCAAGATAGCCAAGAGTTCCGGCCGGTAGCTCAGGCAATGGGGAGCAACTATCTGCAGGCCCCAACAGCGAGAGACCGAAATCAGCGACTCGGGCATTATGCTCCTCGTCGATGAGGATGTTCGAGGACTTAATGTCTCGATGGATCACCGGCGGGCAAGCATAACCGTGCAAGTATTCGATCCCCCTTGCAGCCTGGACTGCAATAGTTACTCTTCTAACCCAATCCAGCTGCTCCTTCAAGACCTTGTTCTTACCATGGAGATGCTGATGCAATGATCCATGAGCCATGTACTCATAAACAAGAAGCCTTTCTTCTCCTTCCTCACAATACCCGAGCAGATTAAGCAAATGGGCATGGTTTAATCTCGAGAGTAGATCTAACTCTGTGTGGAATTCTTTCCAGCTCTTCTGCATGTTTGGAGACATTATAGCCTGTTTGACGGCAACAACCGTGCCGTCTTTTAAAACCCCTCTGAAAACATATGAGAAGCTTCCCTTTCCCACTAAAGATTCGTCTTTGAAACCCTCCGTCGCCCTTTCTAGTTCCTCATAAGTGAACATCTGAGCCCTCCTGATCTTCAGGTCATCCAAATCTGGACGAATCTTACCGTTTTCCTTTTGAAAGCTCGAAGCATTTGCATTACTCTTCTTGGACTTGGAATCTTTGGTGGAGCATTGGCAGTCTCTCAACTTGTAACGAACGTACAAAACTGCGGTTAACGACACAACAATCACTAGGAACGCAGCAAACGCAATCTCCGCAATGATGACCGGCAGCTGCAGCGACCAAAACCTTTCGTTCTTCTTTGCCGCGAGGATAGTGGAGTACGAAGCTGAACAGTTGGAGACGCATTCCGCGGAGTTGCAAATCGAACAGTTATATTCACAAATTCTGTCAGATCTCACCGAGCATTCGGTTTTTTGGTACATTTCAGCGGGACAACCGGCGCTGCACGGCAAGCAAATTCGAGAGTTGGGATCTTTGCAAGAGGCATTCTTATGGCTGAGTTCGTAAAACCCTGGGGCACACGGAGTAGGCTTGCAGAGGCCAGGAGAGACGGCTAAAGGCAGAGAAGTAGGAAATCCAGAACCCCAACAAACAGGCAGAAGTGATCTCTCAGCAAGAATTCCACAAGTGAAGTAATTCCCAGCAGCAATCTCATAAACCTTAATCCCATTAGGGACAGAGGTGCTTGGTTTAACAACAAAACCCCAACAAACCACTCCACGGTCATAACTCCTAATCCCACAAGCATGAAACTTCCCTCCAACAACAGAGAGCATTGGATCATTCGGCGCCAAATCGACATTCCCACCCTGACCCGAATACGCCACCGAGATCTCTTCCTCAATGTCCAAGCTCCTTCCCCAACAAAAGGCTCTTGAATTCACACCCTCCATAATGCCACAAACATGGTACCCACCCGCCGCAATCTTCTGAAACCTCATCTCTTTAGGAATCAAGCTGATGACCCGGCTGCTCGTTTCGTCGCCCCAACAGAAAACCGTCCTGTTCTGAGCAAACAACGCGCAGCTGAACTCCGAGCCTGCAGATATCGACTGAATCTGCCCATCAAACGCATAGTTTTTTGTCATGTTATAGCCCCAACAATCAACAAAAGAAGTGTTCCTGCGTTTTCCAGTCAAGGGCTTTCTCAATCCACAGAGATGGTAATCACCAGCACTTATTTCCAAGTACTCGGCGGCTTTACTCATCGGTTGAGGAACGCCCATTTGGATGTAGCCACTGCTTCCCCAACAATACGGCTGATTGGTATTACTGAGAAGCCCACAAACAAAACCATCACCAGCAGTTAGACCAACAAATGGTAAACGCAATGGAGTTCCATATGTTATGGCTGAATTTGAGCCATAACAGGTCACAAGGTGGGACCCATCTGATCTTAGGCCACAGAAAACAGGACCGTTTTCTCCATAGGAAACGGCAATGGAAGACATTGAACCTAGTCCTGAAACTAACCACAACAAATCTGATAGACATAGAACCCACATAAGGAAAAAACCCCACTTTGGAAAAATCCACATTTCTCTCACAACTCAAATGATAAACTCAGCAGAGAGTGCAGTTCAAAAGGAAAGGAAAAGCTTTGTTCTGGGGTTTGACTGAACAACTGAAAAGACACCATCGCACTTCCCTTAGACCATCAAGTTGAATGAAGAAAAAAGGCATATGATGTGAATAACATTCACCAATGAATAAGCCAAAAAGAATAAACACTTTCTATACAAGAGAACAATTTCTACTGTTCTTCTTCAACACCCAAGTGCGGAAAAACACTTACCCATCAAGAACAAAATGTCGAAAATCTTTCTTTCATTCATTCATTCACAAAACTCAGCTAGTAAATCTCTTCCCACAGTCTGCTCTTGCTTGGATGAGACTACTTGGGTTGTGAAAAAAAAAAAAAAAGAAAAAGAAAAATGATAGTAATAAATTTCTTGGAATGAAAACGCCCAAGGAAAGATGGATTGTTTTGGTGAAGTAGTTGCAGGGTATTGCTATTACAGAAGCAAGAATGTGCGGAGAGAGAAAGAGAGAAGGAAAGAGAGAGGGAGAGAGAGGAAAGAAAGAGCATTTAATGAGATGAAACTGCAAGTTCTGAATATGGCCTCAGTGTAGGTGAAGGTATTAAATGAGAAGTTAATGCCATTTTGATATTTCCAAGCCTGGGTATTAATAACTTTTTTTTGCAGAATGTATGTATGAATGTAATTTTTGCTCCTTTTGTAGTACTAATATCTCCAACGCTTGCGTAAAACTGTGGCCTTCAAATGTCTCTTCTTTTTCTTGCATGCATGATTTTTATTTTCTCTGAAATTATATAAGCTGTTTTCTTTTTCTCTTTTCTCACTCAATTTGAATTTGTATATTTTTTTTTCTGGAATGCTTTCTTTTATTTTATAAATTATACTTTTTTTCTTTAGTAATTGTGTTATCGGTTATACTTGGACCACGAACTTGGGAAATTGCTTTTTTAAACATCGAAGCTTATGTTGTCAATAATTATAAAAGAATAACTACTTGGCTGCATTCTTTTTTTTTTTTTTTTTTTTTCTTTAACTGCTGCGATGTAGTATTTTATTAAGATGATCTCTAATATAAATGTTAACATCAATTATATATTTATTATTAAAAAAATTGACATGATATATTATTTTAATTTTTGTTACAATGCATAATGTTATTTAAAATATTAAGTTTATTTTTTTTATAATTATTAAGCTTTGAAACTTGTAAAAATAAACTTTTATTTTTAAAATAATTAAAAAATACAAAAGTTGTATTCATTTTTAACCGATAGTAATTAAATGTCAAATTTTTCATATACTATCTCTTAGAGGGATTGTAATATGTTTTGATTAAGATCACAAGTTGTTTGAATGTTAAAACAAAGGAAGAAAGAGGAAAATAGTCCAAAACTTGAGATGAATTAAAATTAATAGGCTAATAGTTTACATAAGTTAATAAATAGGCCAAATTACTGTTTTCGTTCATAACTTGTCTGGTTATGAACCATAACTTGACAAGTTATTATCCATAATTGTCCATAACTTGTCTGGCTATGAACCATAACTTGACAAGTTTGTCCATAACTTATCTGGTTATGAACCATAACTTGACAAGTTATGGCCTATTAATTTCTATAACTAAAAATTGACCTATATACTTTCTTAAGCTTTTCATATTGGCATATTTTCTACTATTTCCCAAAAACATAAAAAACTCATGTTTAAGGGACTTCAAAAGCGCTGCAGCGGACAAACTACACAAAAACTGTGCAATTTAGTTCGGCCAAACCGACTACAACCGAAATATTTTCCCTGCAGCTGAAATATTTCCGCTGTAGCCGAAATATTTCTACTGCAACCGAAATATTTGCGTTGCAGCGCGCTTGTGCAAGCCTTTCGGGTCTGTTTGAGCACTGCAGTGGGAAAACACCCGTTGCAGTGAAAATTCTGCATAAAAAATAGTGTTTTCATGAGTTTATGTGATCTGAAACATTTCAAACCATTACATCCATTAGTGATATGTTTTCATATATATCTGAATATCAATTAGCAATAGATATAACTATTGTAATAGGTGTATTAATCCATAAAAAGATATTTTTACATTAAAAATGTACCTTTATGTGAATGGTTGTAATATTTAAAGAGGATATATTCATTCATGAAATGACACATTTGTCTTTGTTAATTCTCCAGAGAAAATTTACAGACTTAATTCATGTTCTGGAACTCAATATGATTGCTAGATATTGTGTTTAACGGTTTGTTGTATCTCATTAGCAAACTTTGAGAAGTGAGGGCAAATAAAACCTTAAAGGAAAGTATTCTTATACGCTTCAAACCCTCTTTTGTTTTTTGCATTCTTTTCACCCTCTACACTCAAATTTTCCAACAACCTTTAAGGTTTTAACTTGTTGCAATGGAGGTTGAAAAGAACATGACGTCTTTCCTCAATTCGAATGTCCAATTTTATCGATTCGATGGTACCAACTTCACCCGCTGGAAAGGAAAGTTGTTCTTCCTTCTCACCATGCTCAAGATCGCCTACGTGCTTGATCCGATGTTAGAGCCACTTCCAAAACCAAAAGAGGATGATTCTAATGAATTGAAGGCTACAAGGAAGGAGCGTGAAGATGATGAAGTCATTTACTAGGGTCATATTCTTAACACTCTCTCCAATAGACTCTACGATCTCTACAACTCGATGGAGTCTCCGGTGGAGATTTGGAACGGTACAGATAAATTTCTCATCTTGAAATATCTTGAATTTGTCATGGTTGATACCAAGAGCGTTCTAGATCAAATACATGAATTGCAAGTCATTGTTACTAAGCTTCGGGAATTGAAAGTTGAAATTCCTGAATCATTCCAAGTGAGGGCAATTATTGCTAAATTGCCTCAAAGTTGGAATGGTTATAGAAAGAAACTCCTTCATAGGAGAGATGACATAACTTTGGAGGAATTATAAAAAACTTGAGGATCAAAGAAGAGACTAAGTCACGTGATCCTAAGGGCAAGATAATAGATTCCTCTAAGGTTAATGTTGCTGAAGCTAGTAAGTTTTCGAAGAATTTCAAAGTTAATAATGACAAGAGGTTCAAAAAGTCAGGTAATGGCCAAAAGAAAATTTATGGAAATTGTTTCTTTTATGGAAAGAAAGGCCATAATGGACAACTCACCGGAGCCTGCTGTCGTGATATCGCCGCCTGCCAGAATTTTTTTGAATTTTTTCAGTCACGCCCGAATGGTCTGAATTGGCCGAAGCCCGAACCATACCAACGGATATATTTTTGACCATTGGTGCCCGACCCGAAGCTCGAACTGCCCGAATCCAATGGCTATTTTTTTAGCCATTGCCCGATTTTCTACCTGAGCCAGCCCGAACCCGACCCGTGAAGAAAAAAATAACTGTTGGATCCGAATTTAGGAGAAAAAAATCAATTTTTTAACCCAAAAAATTTTCCTATAAATACCTCTCATCCCTCACACATTTTCCTCACCCAAACTCTCTCAAACCCTCTCAATTTCTCTCAATCTCACTCAATTTCTCTCAATTTCTCTCAATCTCACTCAATTTTTTAAGGATTCTTATTCAATTTCTTTTAATAATAAAGTTGTGATTCGTAAAAATAAGTATTTTATCTGTGATGGATGGATGTAAAATAATCTATATTTTATTAAACCTAAGATGGACTCACTGCTAAACACTGAAGTTATTAATAACTCTAAAAGGCTTAAGACTTCTCACTCTAATTAGACATATCTTTGGCATTTGTGACTTGGTCACATTAGCCTTAACAAAATACAGAGGTTGATAAAGGATGGACCTTTAAGTTCTTTAAAGGTTGGGTCCTTACCCCAATGTGAGTCTTGTTTGGAGGGAAATGACCAAAATACCATTTAGGTCAAAGGGCAATAAGGCTGAAGAGGTTCTTGAACTTGTGCATAGTGATGTTTGTGGTCCCATGAACATCAAAGCAAGATGAGGGTTTGAGTATTGCGTCACTTTTATCGATAATTACTCAAGATATGGTTATGTGTACCTGATGCACCACAAAAGTGAAACTTTTGAGAAATTCACAGAGTTTTCGGGCTGAAGTGGAAAAGCAATTGGGTAACCCATAAAGGAACTTCGATCCAATCTAGGTGGAGAATACGTCTCTGATGAGTTCACTGGATACTTATTAGAAAATGAGATTCTATCCCATTTGACTGCACCAGGCATTCTACAACAGAATGGTGTAGCTAAGAGAAGGAATAAGACCATGTTGGACATGGTACGGTCCATGATGAGTTATTCAACATTGCCTATATCTTTCTGGGGATATACTTTACAAACTGCATGTTATCTTCTGAACAACGTGTCAACAAAGTCGGTTCCTAAAACTCCTCACTAGTTGTGGACGGGCATGAAGACATCCTTGAACCATATTCACATATGGGGATGTCCTGCACATGTACTGGACAAGGAAGCGAACAAGTTGGAAGCATGTTTAGAAGTGTGCATTTTTGTAGGTTATCCGAGTGGGACGAAAGGGGGTTATTTCGATAACCCCAAGGAAAATAAAGTCGTGGTTTCAACAAATGCAACATTACTTGAGGAAAGTTACATGAACGACTTTAAGCCTCGTAGCAAAGTGGTGCTTGAGGAAATATCGAGTGACTTAGTCAGACTGCTAATTCCTTTAGAAACCGTTCAAATCAGCATATAAAAGGAAACCTAACAACAACCTAAGGGGCTTCGGCGTAGTGGGAGGATCAGACCTGAACCTGAGAGATTCATGGCCAATAGGGAGACCTTTTTGGTAGAATCTTTGAAAAATGACAAAGATCCTTATACATACAAAGAAGCTATGGAGGATGTTGATGCAAACCTTTGGACATGAGCCATGAAAGCTAAGATGGAATCTGTGGATTTTAATCAAGTCCGGGAACTTATAGATCTTCCTGATGGAATTAAGTCCATTGGGTGTAAATGGGTCTACAAGAGAAAGAAAAATACAGAAGGAAAGGTCGAAACCTATAAGGCTAGATTGGTAGCTAAGGGATACACACAAAAGGAGGGAATTGACTACGAGGAAACATTTTCGCCTGTAGTCATGCTTAAGTCCATCCGCATTGTAACACCCCCCCCCCCCCCCCCACCCCCGCCCCACAC